CTCCAGCAAAGACCCTAGCAATAGCAAATATGTAGCCTTAAACAGATTGGTGCCTAGCTCAATTGCCATAAAAAAGGCTTCATCCAGCAACTGATCGAAACAAAAGCAGACCCACAGCCAGACATTAAGCAGATGTTGGAAGATATTTGATCACACTGTGAACCCAAAATTTGCATTTGCCTTAATTAAATATACTTAACCTTGGTTCAGGAGGCTTCATTAGCAACTAGTTGACAGAAAGTAATCATAGAGCATCAGATGGCATCTGGAGAGACACAGGAAGTAGTAGGGTGGGGTTTGGAGTGATGCAGGTTTTTCTGGTTTGGCAAAGCAGCAACACAGGCCTTTCAGAGATGTCAGCAAGGGGAGAGGGTTAGCTAGCTGCTTTTTAGCCTCTCTAAGCTAGCATGTTTTCGCCCCAGCCTTTGAATCTTGAGTCTTATTCATAAATAGAATGAGAGAGATTTAGTTAAAGATATCTTTAACAGCAGCAACAGGGCCAGTGCCTGTGGGAAGAAAGTTCCCACCAGGCTATGGCCTGAGCAGCTAGGCCACTGCTAGAGAAGCAGGCCCATAACTGCGGAGTTGGAATTGCTGGCTAAAATAACAGTAGATTAAGGCACAGCCAATGTGCCGAAGATAAAACAACAGGGAGAGTTCGGGGAATCCTACAGAAAAGGGGGAGAATGGATTGTAGCAGCCAGAGGGGTTAAGGATACCACAGGAAGACTCATAGAATCAACTAACCTGGGCTCGTAGGGGCTCAAAGAGAGAGAACCAACAAACAGGGAGCCTGCATAGGGTTGACCTATGCATTCTACATATATGTTACGGTTGTGTAGGCTGGTCCTAATGTGGGACTCATAAGAGTGGGAACAGGGCTGTCTCCGATCTACTGGCTTTGGGAGCCTACTCATATTGGGTTGCCTTGCCCAGCCTTTATATATGGGGAGGTGCTTAGTCTTACTGCAACTTGATATGTCATGTTTTTTTGATACTCATAGGAGACCTGCCCTTTGCTATATGAAATGGTGGAGGAGTGGATTGGGGGGTAGGGACAGAGGTGGGGTAGGAGCGGGGAACTCGGGGGAGAGGAAAGAGGAGAATCTGTGGCTGGGATGTAAAAGTAAATAAATAAATTTATTTATTAAAAAACTTAAAGTATTTAATGAAAGAAATTGAAGATGATATTAGAAGATAGAAAGATCTCCCATGCTCATAGATTGGATTAACATAGTAAAAATGGTCATCCTACCAAAACCAATCAACAGAATCACTGCAATCCTCATCAAAATCCCAACACAATTCTTTATAGAACTTTAAAGGAGGATTCTCAACATCATAATGAAAAACATAAAACCTAGGATAGTTAAAACAATCCTGAACTATAAAAGAACTGCTGGAGGTATCCATGATTTCAAGTTGCATTACAGAGCGATACTAATAAACAACTATATGGTATTGCCATAAAAACAGACATATTGATCAAAAGACTTGAAGTCCCAGACCAAAATTCACACATCTATGGACACCTGATTTTTGATAAAGAAGCCATAAATATACACCAGGAAAAAAAAGCAACTTAAATAAGTTGTGCTGATCAAACTTGATGGCTGCATATAGAAGAAGGTAAATATATTCATATTTATCACCCTGCACAAAACTCATGTCCACATGGATTAAGGACCTCAATATAAAGCCAAATGCACTGAATCTGACAGCCAAGGAAGTGGGGAATAGCCTTGAAAACATTGGCATAGGAAAAGACATTCTGAATGTAATACCTATAGCATAGGCTCTAAGATAAACAAATACATAGGACCCCATGAAGTGGAAAAGATTTATAAGGCAAAGGACACCATCAGTAGGACAAAATAGCACTCTACAGAATGGGAAATTTTTTTTTTTTACCAACTCCACATTTGACAGAGGTCTAATATGCAAAATATATAAAGGACTCAGGAAACTAGATATTAAAAAACAAATAATCCAATTAAAAAGCGGGTACATATCTGTACAGAGAATTCTCAATAGAGGAACCTCAGATGGTTGAGAAACTCTTAAAGAATTATGTTCAACATTCTTATCCATCATGGAAATACAAATCAAAATGACTTACGACTGTCAGAATGACTAAGATCAGTAACACAAGTGGCAGCTCATGCTGGCAATGATGTGGAGCATATTAAACTTGTGATCCTCTGGCTTCAGCTTCCTAAAAGGCTGAGGTTACAGTTCTGAGTCCACAGGAGTGAAGAACAATATAGAGAATTGGTGTGGAATATTTAACTATGTAAAGATGTGTTATATTTGTTTATGCTGTGGAATATTACTATAACTATGTGAAGATGTGTTATACTTGTTTATGATGCCCTTATTTAATTACTTAAAGATGTGTTACATTTGTTTCACCTTACCTGCCTAAGGCACCTGATTGGTCTGACAAAAAGCTCAAGGGCCAATAGCTAGGCAGGAGAGAGATTGGCAGGACTGGTAGCCAGAGAAAAAATAAGTAGGAGGAGGGAGCTAGGCTTGAGAGAAGAGAGAAAGGCAAAGGAGGGAGAAAGGGAGGGACACACTTGGGACCAGAAGCCAGGCAGCCACCAGCCAGCCAGACACAAGAAGCAGGAGAGTAGGACATGCAGAAAGAAAGAAGGGTAAAAAGATCAAGGCAAAATGTAGATAACGAGAAACAGCTTAAAGTAAGAGATAAAATAAGGCCAAGCATTCATAACTAATAATAAGTCTCCATGTCATGATTTGGGAGCCATTTGCTGGCCCAAAAAGAAAGAGCCTGCTCCAGAGAATATTATATGAGGTATGAAATGTTTATACTTTGTAGCCAGTATGAGGGATTCAATATAATAGTAACATATAAATACTTCCAAGACAGTTAATTTTAAAATTGAAGCTCTCAAGTATTACATACAATGTAATACTTATATAAAGATAGTTTTGTTGGGCAGTGGTGGCTCATGCCTTTAATCCCAGCACTTGTGAGGCAGAGGCAGGCAGATCTCTGTGAGTTCAAGGCCAACTTGGTCTACAGAGTGAGTTCCAGGACAGGCTCCAAACCTACACAGAGAAACCCTGTCTTGAAACAAACAAACAAGATAGTTTTTATATGTGTCTATTCATACAAATATAAAAATGGATATCAGAAATTTTGGACAGTAGGGGTGGCCTTGTTGATGAGTAGATATGGAGACCCAAAGTGAGATCAATGGGACATTTTTACCTTAGTAGCTTGCTTTAAAGCTGATCAAGTAATATACAATTATGCATTGGTTTTGCAATTAAAACTAATTTAAAAATTTTAAAAGGAGATTTGATAAACCAAAATCAAAAATTTTATAATTTCAACTTCATTACAATCATAAAGTTATCATTTAAGTTGGGCATAATTGACTAATCCCTGCATTTGGGAGGCAAAGACAGGAGGATATCTGTGAGTTTGAGAACAGTCTGGTCTACATAAACAGTTCCAGGGCACCCAGGGCTTCATAGTGAGAGACTGTGTCTTGAAAACACACACACATACACACAAATAACAAATTTTTTTAATGTCATCTCTTTCCCATATGGAAAGAAATATCACTATTCACTATTAACTAACCTTAGAAAATTTATCCTCAAATTTAATCATTGGATCACAAAAAAATCATTGTACATCTTAACATGAAATATAATTAAGACTGAATAGATGTGAAAAGAAGGTCTAAGATTATCTTGCCCTTCACAGTTGAAATTCACCTAAGAAAGGATTTTACCAAGAAAACCCTCCAGTAAGAAGCGTGATGTGATAAATTCTGTCACAGTGGGAAATTCTTTGATCCTTTAACAAATTTGTTAGGAAAGTAAGTGAGAATTATACTGATCTCCTGAGATGATTTGTTTTGTGATGCAAGGAAATGTACCTTCCCTCTTCAACAGTCTTCTTCAAGGACCATGTGCAAGCTTAATTTTGTCAAGCTACTGATGTTCTTTGAGATGGCTACCAGTCAACTCTCAAGCAGACGCTGAGAAAATGGAGTGTGTGATTGATTTCTGAGGTTAATACTGACCTCAGACTCCAACAGCTTGATAAATTAAAACTAACACCTGCTTTCTGAGTGCAAGCTAAAAGAAGATATCAACTTGGGGATGCTTCTTGTCATGTTGGAGTGCCACTTTAGCAGTCCTAATGAGTTTTTTTTTGTTTTTTAATTATCAGGTTTTTGGCATCAATACAGAAGTATATTCTACCCAGGAAAAAAAGTAAAAAAAAAAAAAACAACTAAATCAAACTGCTTATTATTCACAGACATACATAAATAGCAACAGTAAAGAAATTAAAATACCTTGTATTCTTCTTTAGCAGAGAACATTCAGATTGTTACAGCCTTTGACCCTTCACTTGCCCACAAAACGTCCCAAGTTACTCCTTAGAATACACAATCAATATTTTTTTCTAGCAATTTCCCAAACAGCAAAGTTTGGGGAAATCTTACTACCATAAATTTCTCAACATTATTTTCAAAATGAAAGTGCCAATGGTATGTATCAGAGCATTCGGGCCATGTTGTCACCAGAGAGAGTTTGATTTCTTCTTATGGCACTAGGGCTCTAAGAAGATAACCCCTAAGGTATCAGAAATTATGCTCCAAATAATTAATATTATTGACTTCTTTGTCTTCATGAAAAAAAAACTAATTTAAAAAAAATTTCACTAAATATTCTAGGGCTGAACATAATTATGATTCCTAGAATTTAAACATTCCCCTTAAGATTTTCTAGTGAGAAACTGTAACATCATAAAAATCTTAAAGATGCTTCATACTTAGAGTGAATGACATAGAACGTGTTTAAGAACAAACATCTGGCAATATTATCTGCTGGGACACATTCGGCATTTATCGGGCCCCCATTCAACAAAACAAAACAAAGCAAAGAAAAACAAAACAAAAAGTTTGGAATACACAGGAGTCTAAGAATTAACTACATATTTTTTGTCTTTCCAGATTAAAATCCCTGAGTTATCACAGCACTGAGGATGAGGTTAACCAGACACTGCAATTAATTATAACAGCAACAATAAGAAAACATGGAAGAATCACTCATGTTTATTTAGTGCCACCACTTTCTTTTGTCTGCATTACTTCATAAACTATATGAATAAATATTAAATATCATTCCATTTAATAACAGTACCCTTCAGAATGTCCATAGAAATTTCTTATTCTTCCTAAATGGCCAGAGAGACTGCTGTTTTCTGCTATGATGCTAACCTGAATTACTAAGGCATGATGTGGAAACAACATTTGAGTTTTTATAATTCTAAAAGATTGGAACTTTTCAAAAAAAATCCCCATAGTATTTGCAACCAATACACCTTACACATTATACAATCTTATTTGGAGAAGTAAGAGATGGTATCATCATCACAAAAACCCATTCATCATGCTGCTCTGCAGACTCAAGAGGAAGAGTTTCTTCAGAGTAAAACTCGCATCCCACCGGATTATAGTCCAGCTCACTAGCAGATAGCTAAAATAATTTAATGTTTTTTGAATATTTATCACAATGTATTATCACAAAACATCTGCCACTTACGATTTTGAGTCATCCCATAACACACAATAGGGATTCAACGTGCCCTGAAAATAAACAGAGAATAAAATATACCATGAGGATACATATAAAAATTGTTGAATTATGTGAAATACAAAATGAAAGATGGCTTTATAATCCTATAGTGAAAGACATATTAAAGATATACCACAAAAGGGTTTCCCACCCTGTAAAATTTTACATTTTCTTTCTCATAGTTTTGTGACTCATTTTGTAAAATTCTAGCAAAATAATATCTTGATTCCAACTATAATTAGTATTTAGTTTGTTGAAAAGGAAAACCATATACTGTAGATCCATGTTATGGTTATTTCTATGTCACACTCATTTCTCTGATTATAATTGCTCAATTACATCCTCTCTGAAGACCAAGGTGTTTACAACATTTATGCTAGAGTGACATGCCCTGCATTACACATGTACACACACCACCACCATGTCATCTTCTCATTGGCTTTTCCTAGAAAACAGGAGATTGTGCTGAAAGTCCATTTCCAGGGTCGTATAACAAACAGAACTTTAATCAACAGGTCATATTTCAGTGAGGTCATATGTAATGAAACTCTAAGAAAAGGAGGTGCTAGATTTTATGCATTTGAGTAATGATGTATTAATTACCCACCATGGCCTTTAGGTTAATATGATGGGTTTTCTACACTGAGTTAGTTCAAGTAGTTTGTTTTGAAGAGTTCTGATATTGACAAATGATTTCTTTCTGTTAGTCTATTCAAATAGCCCCCACCCCTTGCAACTAACTCAATTCTTTCTGTAAAATATTTGCGTACCTAAAAAAGTCTATCATGCTTCCTAAGAGATTTTCCTTATCCATTAAATACATCCTGTGTGTTTCACGTTCTCCTATTCTTCATGATGCACACTCTGGAGACACATCTTAAAAGTCCATTTAGGAAAATCATTCACTTGTGTCCAATCTGTGCAGAGCAAAGTGGTACTATTTCCTCTCCAACTTAGACAACAAATTTATAAAAATGTAAACTAAAAATTATATCAGCTAGTTTGAAATGTCTTCCTGAACTGGAGCGGTATTTACTGACACTGCTTCTTACACACAGAGGTCTATTGGAAAACTTCAAATTCTGACTTGAGTATCCCACACACTCACTATTGTTTCTAAGCTTTGAATCATCACAGGGCTAAGATACAAACATGACTATATCCTCATCCCACCAAGTCAATGGTAAAAATAGTGGACAGGCCAACACAGTTTAAAAGGTACAGTGCTGATATGGGTTACTGTGTTTCTTTTCCATGTACACTTCTTCCCTAGGAAACAAGCAAGGATAACCCAGTCTTTAGGGTCCCAAATCTGTAATTACAGGACTGAAAGGAGCATCCTGAATGTCTCAGAAGTGATCATTGTGGGACGAGTGTTATTTTCTGGGTCATCTTTTGAATTTTATTAGAAATAAAAATCAGTCTCATTAAAGTTTATGAAATCCACTTAACCTCATTTATTACCCATTTTAAAAATAACTCTAATACTTATGATATCACAATTTTACTCCCAAATTAAGATATTCAAAGCATCTTATTACCAAACAATCAAACCCAAATACTATGGCTTTAAGCTCTATGTATTATATCATATATCTTTCCTTTCCTGAAAAAAATGGCCATAGTCCTATAAAAGGTAAATAAGAAACATACTGTACAGAATGTTTATATAACAAGCAGAGAGATGCATATATCACAAGTCTGATATTCCTGAGGACAATACACAGTCTGTGCTAGCCAGAACAGGTTTTCTGGAAGGCATAGATCCCCATCAGGTTTTTAAGGGAAAAGTGTATCTCCTATTCATGACGGGGGAATGAAATAGTGTCCCACATTGATTTTTGTCTCCTCTCTTTATCAGATCTTATCTGGTTTTTCTTGGATTCATGAATTTTGTAATTTTTCTGATATAAATTAAATAGCTACAATATCATGTAGTTTTGTTGTATTTATCTAATGTTTTATTCACAGCAGCTCATTATCCATGGTTTATCACAATAGATGAGGGGACTTGGAATTGTACATTTCATGGATATTAAAACCAAGTGTAGGTAAGAAATCTGCGTTTAGACATCTATAAGTTAAGTTAAACCTTTCCTTTTTCCCCCTTTTTTTTGAGACAGAGTTTCTCCATGTTGTTTTAGTGCCTGTCCTGGATCTCGCTCTGTAGATCAGGCTGGCCTCGAACTCACAGAGATATGCCTGCCTCTGCCTCCCGAGTGCTGGGATTAAAGGTGTGCACCACCATCGCCCAAATTTAAACTTTTCTATAGACACAAGACACTTACATGCTTGATTTTTTAAAAAATGTTATATACACGAGTGGTGTGTCTGGATGTATGTTTGTGCACCACATGTGTGTCTGAGGCCTGCGAAGGCCAGAGATAGGCATGCGATCCTCTGGAACTGGAGTTCTTGCCAACAATTTTGAGCCACCATTTGGGTTCTGGGACTAGAACCTATGTCCTTTGGGAAAGCAACCAGTGATTTTAAGTGCTAAGCCATCTCTCCAGCATCAGTGCTTGGTATTTTTAAGTTATTTAAATTCATTGAAAGTTGAAACAAGGGAAAAATAATATTAGAAAGCAAATCAACCTAACCTTAAAGCATTGCATATCCCTTTTCTTTTAGTGCCCAAACTTTAGATAAAGCTGTCAAGACTTCTAGTCTTCCTCCACATCTATTTCTTTTCTTTTTCTTTTCTTTTTTCTTTTTCAAGACACGGTTTCTCTGTGTAGTTTTGGTGCCTGTCCTGGATTTCGCTCTGTAGACCAGGCTGGCCTCGAACTCACAGAGATCAGCCTGGCTCTGCCTCCTCCACATCTCTTTCTACACTCAGTTTATCCTCGAGTTTCCCCACCTCTTTACCTCTTAGACTCTATTTCATGCTTCTCTCACTTCCTGTGCTTAGGATACCAACCAATGAGAATTACTACTGGTGTGAAATGTACCATCCTACCTGACATGCACATAATAGGCAAATGCTTCTCCAGATAGGTCATGTAGTGCAGTTACCACTGTGTAGACTTAGGCCCTATCACCCATAATTGAGCATTTGAAGTCTTGGAAGTACACAGAACAGCAAGAACAGTTATCTTAATACTTAGATGGACCAGGTACATAAGGAATATGAGAGCAAGTATGAAGTAAGAGCAATGGCAAATGAACTCTTAAAAACAACGAAGTAACCCCCCAAACCAGCTGAATGGTTCTGCTAAGAAACTACTTGTAAATATTTGTTATACTTTTCAGATACTTCTGTCAAAGTGTCTGTGTTACAAGATCTGTCTTGAGGAATTTATGGGAATCAATAATGGAATGACGAGCCTTACAGAAAGCAGGAAGAAAATGTGAGGAGAGGAACAAGCAGAATGTAAGCAAGCTGGGAAAGAACCCACACAAGCTGGCTTTAAATTCATTAACTAACGAAAGTTGTCAGGTACGCGGGACAGATGGGCTAAGGACTAATTTGCCAATCTGTCTATATAATTGACACTTAAATGCATTGAAACTGCATACACTTGAGAAAGTTTGGAAAATATACACTGTTATTGTCAAAATTTTTTTTATCAAAACAAACAAATAATTTGCCTCTGAAGGCTCTGTTCAAAACAGTACAATTCGAATCAATTTTCAAACTCTTGGTTATATACTTTTAAGCATTGTCAAGAAGCACATGGCTGAAATTTCCTATTTATAAGGCAAGACAGAAAACTGGGGAAAGTACAGGGTGTTGGGAATGGAAAGCAGTTTCTCACTTTGGAGTCCGGTTGAAGCCTCTGGGCCCCTGAGAGTCAAGAACTCCAGCACAATTAAACCTTGCCTAAGGCCTTTTCCTTTTTCCCAGCTGTAAAACTGAGATGTACCAGAAATCTCACCAGAAGCCTCCTTTACAGAAAAGACAGATTCTAAACTCCTCTGTCAGCCCAGTGACTCATGGTGTAGGTATGGAGGATCCTTTAGGAACCCATTCCACAATGAAATCCAACAGTTTCCTGAAAACTTTTTAGACACCCAGCACTAGGACATTTGAATGGTTCTTCTCCACCGAGAAGCCCACACTCACATATGGGTCTTGTTCTTTCCCTGACAGTCTTTCTCCTAAACTCCTTCCCTAAAATCCATGTCAAAAATGTCTTTAGAGATGGCTCAGCTGTTAGAGAAATTACTACTTCTGTGGACAGGAGTTTGACTCTCAGCATTCACATCAGGAAGTTCCAAACTATCGTAATTACAGAACATCCAAAGCTGTCTTCCGGCCGCTGTGGGCACTTGTACACATCACACACACACACACACACACACACACACACACACACACACACACACACACACTAAAAAACCAAACAAAAACAAAAAACAAAAAACAGGAAAATAAGTCTTTAAAAAGTTTTTTTAAATAAACTGAGACTCTTCTTTTGAGTACCCACACCCATGCTTTCATGTGTGTTTTATTCCTTCTCTATCCACCTTTATTTCTATTTTTATTGACCCTCAACTCTCCCTTACACAGGAAAAGAAATTCTTTTCTGACTGTGACACTGAACCTATTTTACACATATGAAGTCCCTAACGATTTAGGGGATGCTTCAGCTGATGGGGGTGACAGGGTGGAGCTGTGTCTCAACCCCTGCTTTCCTGACAAGTACAATGGATATTCTACACTCTAACTTAAAGTGGCTTCACTGTTTTCTTTTCTATTTCTCTCTGTTTCAATGCCAACCCAAATGTGTATTTACTTAACAGTGGGACATACGGTCAGCATGCTCAATGTGTTTCATTTGGGTGATTCTTTCTTTTCATTTTCTGGGTACAGAGGACTTGACATCCTCTTATACTGTGAAATGGTTCTACAGTGGTCCTCATATTTGGATTCTTTTCCTCTAATAGAATATGTTAAGTACATCTAACTCTTGAGGGGGAAAACGAGGGCAGAGAAAGGGGTCAGTGAAGCCTCATACAAAGCCTACAAAATTAGCTTGTGAAAAAAAAAAAAAGAAATCTGTTTGCA